ATTCTAATCTTTGTTATTTTTGATACTTGTTTTCTTTCTAATTTCTGTTATTATTTTGTGCTGTTATTTGTTTGTTCTAAGACTTTTTATTAAGTTTTCGTTAATCTTTGTTATGTTTTTTCTGTTGTTTACTTTACTTTGATTTTATCTGTTTTTCTTATCATTTCTCCTAAACTTTTTCCCCTCATCTTCCTTATTCCTTTCCTGGGAAGAGCTTACCTCAGACCTCCTAGTTGGTTCTTGCTGGACACAACTGTTCTACAAGCACTACATTTTTTATACACTTTTCAAGTACCATTATATTATGCTTATAATAATAGTAAACTGTCCACATATTCCTGTGAAATTTTGTTGATCGGTTGTGACTAACATGGGGTTAATCATTGAAGAATTTATCATTTTTAGCAAACTTTTATAACATCAACTTATTAATCTAATGTGCACGTAATGTTGGATGAAATATCAGTGAAAATCAGGGTGAAAATAGTTAATAACTACTTTAATATTTTCCACCAAGTTGCCTTCATATACAAAAAACACTTTTCTGAATTATTTGTTATTTACATCAGGTAGAGTATATTAAATATGCTGCAATAATATATTATTCACTAGCGCTGATGAACGGCACGCCGTGTTGTCGGCCGGCCTACTCGTGGTGACGTCACGCGTCTGTTGTCAGGCCTTGTATTTTCGGTGGTAACGGTACAGCTCACGTAGCGCGTTCGACTGTACCCGTACCTTTTTTTTTGGTGAGGGGGGAATGCGTTTACGCACCATACCATAGCCCGAGCTACGGCGTGTGTGGGAGTCCAGGTTGTCTTGAGGAGACCACCTAATACCCACTAAACCCTAACCTCCGCGTGGCCCGACTCATCAGCGTCTCGGTAGGCCATGTGTTGTGCGTGACCTGCGGTCTGCTACAACGTCTCCTCATGTGTTTCAGTCTCTGGGAACGCCGGGTTGGTTCCCTTTACCTCGCACATTCTATCGATGTCGTTAAGCGATCATCGATAGAGGGTCTGCTAGGTTCTCTTGAAACTCTTGTTTTCGAAAAATCAAGAGTTTCAAGTCCTCTTACCAATTGTTCCTGGTCCTGGTCCTGAAGGGTCCTGGTCGTGGCGGGTCCTGGTCCTGGTGGGTCCTGGTCCCGGTGGGTCCTGGCCCCGGTGGGTCCTGGTCCCGGTGGTTCCTGGCCTCTGCATTACTCGTACTGCCGTGACTGCGACCTTTTTATATCGGCACCCCTAGCGGTTCGCGAACCACCGCTTGAGAAACTCTTGCGTTAGACGAAATGTGCTCATGCCAAGTCAAGCCCTCAGTCATCTGTACTCCGACCAGCCAAAATGAATGTTTCTTTGGAGGGGTTCGGCCATCCATGTTGAAACCGAAATACATACCACTCGCCATTTGTAGGCAATTTTAATGCAATTGCAATCAATATCGGCCTCTGACAGAGTATATTTACTATGCGAATATGTGTTTCATTTGCGATCTAAAAATAGCCGATATATTTGAATACTGCCATTCCAGTTATCGAATCACAATCAACAACGCATAGATTTTATTCTAAACTGGTGGACAGTTGGTTTGCAGCATGGCAAATTTAACCCAAATTCAAATCTCGATATTTTCAGAACGGAAAGAGACATCGAGTTGTGGTATCCGTGAGGTTCTTGGCCAACTCTTTAAGAACACGTATCTATCCACCTATATAAGGAGAGCAAAGGAAGTATGTTTTTTTAGCAAAGCTTGGGGCTATGTCAGATTCTTAATTTTTGATTTATGAATTTTTTCTATGCATCCTTTTGATCTATCTTAAAAAAAGTAATGTCTGAAATTTTTCTAAAGTTGGCTTGGCTCTAACTCAAATTATCAAATTTTAAAGAAGTGTTATATTCATCCTTAAAAAATGGACTTTTTGGGGTTTCTCTTTAGAATGGGTATTTTTTCTCATACTGTTGCATAAAGGGGAATTTCTTGCGCCCCAGAAAAGATTGACGCACTCATTGAACGTTATTGTCTCCAGTGGCGTGCAGTAAGAATTTGCTACTTTGACATTATATAATTTAAACCGAATTTATAAATTTTTCTATGCAATTAAATGGCTTAATGAACAAATTCCAGTTACTACTCTTAATATAAGGGTGTAGCCCAGAGGCGTAACACCAAAAGCATCTCTTTGGTTTGGTAACAGGTTCTAATAACTTAAATAATTTTAGTTTTAAAAATTTCATGATGCTGGCCAACACTGCTATTCATTTTTTATCTCGAATTCTCCATCTTCCCCTATTAAATTTTTAAACAACATCAAAGAATTTATTGACATTAGCAATGTGCAACATTTTAGAAAACAAACATTTTAAGACCAATTAAATACCTAAATCATTTATTTATGACAGAAGCGATTTTTTACAAAACAGCATCAGCTATTTTACACAATATTGTAAGTACCTTGTAGGGCCACTCAGCACATCGATCACAGCCTGGCAGCTTCGAGGCATACTTTCCAGGAAGTAATTAATAAATTCAGGGATACGTTTTTCCACACTACCTTTATGGCCTCAGACAGCTTTTCCATTGTTTAAAGAGCATTTTGTCTTGACCGCACTAAAAATTTTAGCTGAGACCACACATGCTCAATTATGTTTAGGCGGGGAGGCTCTGATGGCAGAGGCCATAACGTAACATTATTTTCTGCCAAAAAGTGTATAACCGTACACCCCAAAATATTGTGCAAAATGTACAGCAATATTGTGTAAAATGGTCTCTCCAAAAACAGCACTGATTGTCCTGTGTGAAAGCAAACATTCGGTTTTATTATTGTGCAAACAGTTATGCTACCTCCACCAAACGCCTATTGCGAAGCCATGTTTTCTTCATCATACCGTTCCCTAGCTTCTTCTAAAAAGGACCCTGCCATCAGGGTGTTATACAGGGTGTTCAAGAAAAATAGATACTCTAACTTCGTAAGCTTAGAAAGACGTGAAATAAACCATTGGGACACGCGAATCGCGGCCACAGCAACTCTGTACCTTCATAAACGTGTACCGCCAATTTCAACAGTATTGTCAGTATGTGAGTTGAGGCGGTCGTGGTAGGCACGATGGATTTATCTGCAGCAGACACGAGTTTTATTGTGGAACATTATTTTCGATCGAGTTCATTCAAAATCGTGCGGAAACGGTTTCAGGAGAAGTTCGGTGATCAACGAAGCTTGCATAGAACAATGACAGAGCGAGTAGTCGGCCGTTTTCAGAATGAACATACACTGGTGAGACGAAAGGGGAGTGGCCATCAGCGCAGTGTAAATACTCCAGAAAAGGTCGAAGTGGTGCGGCAGCTAACCCCCGCCTTCCGGTGCAAAAATTGCCGCGCATGCATGAAATGTCTGTTGGCAGTGTAGACTTTGCTCTTCAAGAACTGAAGCTGTATCCCTATCGAATTGAGGTACGACAAAAATTAAAACCTCCAGACTACGCTCGTCGGACACAATTTTGTGGCTGGTTTAATTCTTTTGTGCGCCAAGGTATGGCTCAGTTGTATACGGCCTTCTTCTCTTATGAGGCTTGGGTGCATTTAGACGATTGTGTAAATGCACAGAATTACCATCTATGGGGAAGTGAAAATCCTCATGCCTATCTGGAAGGAGGGTTACACCCTCAGAAGATTGGGATACGGTGCGCTGTATCGCGAGCACGAGTAGTTGGGCCCTTCTTCTTTACTGAAACCATCACTGCGGAGCGATATCAACGAATCCTCGAATTACTTAGTGCGTCTTTGAAGCCGCAGGAACGTCATTGCTGGTTTCAGCAGGATGGGGCCACAGCTCAAACCGCTGGTTCGACAATGAATTTCCTAACTGAATTTTTTGGAGACCGCATTATTTCGCCAACATTGTGGCCACCACGTAGCCCTGACTTGTCACCTTCAGATTTTTATTTATTTTAAAGACAGGGTTTTCCAGAACCCACTCACCTCAGTCCTAAGTCTACAAGCGCGCATATTTTTGAGTATTTTTAGTGACTTTGTATAATAAATTGTGCGAGTTTGTAATCAGAGTATCTATTTTTCTTGAACACCCTGTAGGCTGAAGCGTGTTTCATCGGAGAACATGCAATTTTGCCACCGCTGATGCCAATTTACCCGCTCCTGTGCCTGTCGGTACCTGGCGACTCTATGAAAGAGTCGGGTGCACTTGTACCTAACAAATTAGAATTTAACGGTCTTCTTACATAACGACTGGATGCTATTATTTCTCTGTGCTGCCTTAAGTCTTCATTCAAGGTTCTGTATGAAAGGGTCCTCCTTCGCCTTAGTTCTTGCAATAAATGTCTTTCGTACCGACCTCGTATTTTTTTTGGTTTAACTCCTCCAGGCGAGTAGGTCGTGACCCCATTATCCTGATATCTATGCCTCAAACAGTATAAACGACCTTTTCCCAATAGTGTTATACAATTCTCTCGTTCTTTTTCAGTCCATATTATTGTTACTTAGCAATTGCATGGTTGAGGTATAGGTAGTTGGGATGAAACTGCATAAACGTCATATTTGCATGGAGAGGGTGATAAAAAAAAATAAGGTCGAGCCGAATTGCGAGAAGTTAAAGAATCGATAATTTGAGTTATAGCCATCTTTCTAAAAATTTGAGATTAACCTTTTTTGGGATGGTCCAAAGATCAAAAGGATGCATAGAAAAATGTTCAAGGTCAAAAATTGGGAATCTGACAGGGCCCCAAACTTTGCTAAAAAAAAACTTGACTTCCTTTGCTAACCCTGTATAAGTGGATAGATACAAGAAATATAACGGCCAAACCTGACATGTATTCTCAAAGAGTTGGCCAAGGACCTCTAAAATACCGCAGCTCGATCTCTCTTTCCATTCTGAAAATATCGAGATTTTAATTTGGGTAAAATTTTCCATGTTGAAAAGCACCTGTCCACCAGTGTATTACGCTCCATAGTTTCACAAATCAAATTTAAGTTATGGCCTGGTTAACCCATAAATAAGTTACAACTACAGTAATAATTACTTTGTCCACCACAATCGACACTACAATAGTGTTTATGGTATAGGGTAAAACCGGGATAGACGCCGCAGCGGGGTAGATGCTTCATATTCTAAAAACCTAACTTCCCCGACCGCGCGACTAGAAATTAATTGTAAAGGGTGTCCCAAAATTAACGCAAGATTTGAATTTGCCGCCATTTGTGCAGTGAAGTGTTGGCAACCCTGAAAAAAAGCAATTTGACAGCTAACAGTATAGGGTTATGAAAAATGGAGCGTTACACGATAGAACAACGTGTCTTCATTATTAAAGAATATTTCAAAAATAGTGAAAGCTTGGCGGCTGCAGTTCGAAAATTTCATACAAAATATGGCCGGAATAGTGTTTTAACTTCGTCAACTGTGAAGAGATTAATTGAAAAATTCATGGAGACTGGATCCGTTGGAGACGCCAAACACACTGGTCGTCCAAAAACAAGCCGTTCAAATGTGAATATCGAAGCAGTGCGTGAGAGTGTTGCGGACAATCCAGGAACCTCAATTCGACGTCGTGGACAAGAATTGCAAATGTCAAGAACCTCTCTACAGCGTATACTCACCAAAGATCTGTGTCTTCATGCTTACAAACTTCAATTAACACAACAATTGAAGCTTAATGACCATGCAGAGAGAAGAGAGTTTGTTGAATGGATTATTGAACATCAACAAATGGACCCTGATTTTTCAAGCAAAATCATCCTAAGCGATGAAGCACATTTTCATCTTGATGGCTTTGTCAATCGCCAAAATTGCCGCATTTGGGGTTCGGAGAACCCACGTGTGATTGTCGAAAAAGAAATGCACCCACAACACGTGACTGTCTGGTGTGGATTTTGGGCTGGAGGCATAATTGGGCCATATTTTTTTGAAAATGATGCTGGTCAAGCAGTGACTGTTACTGGTGCTCGATATCGCGACATGATTACACAGTTCTTTCTGCCAAAATTGAATGATATTGATGTACCCAATATGTGGTTTCAACAAGACGGTGCCACATGTCATACAGCCCGTGAAACAATTCAATTACTGCATGAGACATTTCCCGGTCGTGTACTCTCTCGTTTCGGTGATCAAAATTGGCCTCCTAGATCGTGTGATTTAACACCATTAGACTTCTTTTTATGGGGTTATTTGAAATCACAAGTCTATGTCAACAAGCCCACAACCACCCGTGCATTAAAGGAGGAGATTCAACGCTGCATCAACGAAATTCAGCCACATTTATGCAGAAGGGTCATGGAAAATTTCGACAAAAGAGTGCGCATGTGCATGCAAAGCCGTGGAGGCCATTTGTCCGATGTGTTATTCCATACATAACCCTATCCTATGTACTTTATGAGTCAATAAAAATATAACTATTAAAAGACTAAAAATGGCATTTTCTATTTAATTCAAATCTTGCGTTAATTTTGGGACACCCTTTATAAGTAGGGGCCGCACTTACCCCGCACCTCAGTTACCCACGGACAATCGTGCGTTTCGCTCGTGTGTGTCATTGTCTCCGCGGCGAAATTTACGAACACGTCAAAGTTTTGAAGGTTAGCATTTTGTTTTGTATAACTTTATAGTTAGTAATAAATTCCATTATATTCCTTATAACGTTGATTCACTAGTTCATCAAATCTGCATGTAGGTGTAAATAGATGCTATTTTGTTTATAATTTCTTCAATAAATACTTGGGCATCTATCCCTATCACAGAGCATAGTTGCCCTAATTTTTTGAGGTATAGATGCCCTTATACGGCATAAGCACATACATATTATTATATTTAAATATTTTAGTTTATGTTATATTTTCTATATTTACGTATATTTATATTTTGACATTTTACTGATTTTAGGAGAACCATTACACGAAAATATAAAAGAAAGAAAGGAGTGCCAGTTCGAGTATGTTTTTGGACTACAGAAAGCCTACAGGCAGCTTTTGATGAAATGGACAAAAAAACTATGGGGATAAACGAAATATCCCGTCAATTTGGTATTCTATCATGGACATTGAGAAGACGATATGCTGTCAAAAATAAAACAAAATTGATGATGGGTATATATTAAAAATCATGTACGTAGTACAAGATATAAACTTTTATTTTACTAATTGCTATCATTAGTTTCTAATAGATTTATTAACGTTAGCTATTTGTTTTAGGAAAGCATCCGGTTTTAGATTTTGACAACGAGAAGACGCTAGTAAAACACATTCTTAAACTTGGTGAGGCAGGATTTCCTCCAAATAGGCAAGCGATAGTTACGCATGTTAGCTTATCAATTTGCTGAAAAACTAATTCTGAAACACAATTTCTACCACGATAATGAAATGGCTGAAGGTGCATGCTTCAAAAGTTCCATAGAATGAAATACGGAACTATCTATCAGACAAGCTGAAGGTTTATACTGATACTTAATATAGGTTCGAATAGTTTATAACAACAATTTAGATTTCATGTTTTTTGTTGGTTAAATGCTTGTAAAGTAGATTTTACCAAAAAAATATGATTATGAATGTTGTAACTTGAGAATTTATATATTAATTAAACAAGCACTCTAAAATATTTGATAAGGGTTCCTAATTTATGTAAATATTAATATTATCTTCTAATTATAACAATAAAAATATTAAATAAAAACAAAATGTTTTCATTATTATGACCCATGTTTCTTGGAGACAATATGCTGCTGTTTTAGGAGCAGAACTTCTTAACATTTGGATTGAGTATTTTGTTTACAGGATATGAAGGGCATCTATCCTACACTATAGACATCTATGCTTTTTAGTTTTTTCATGGCGGGGCAACTATCCATATAGATAGGCATCTATCCTCAAAAAAGAAGTTCCACGAAAAGCGGATTTCTGCGAAATCTGTAATTGATAGATTCAAAACTGATTATAGTTGTTCAACATAAGGGATTGAACTAGCTATATTCATAGAATTTATTTGTATAAAATTAGGCAAATATTTCAAAAAGTGGGGCATCTATCCCGGTTTTACCCTACAACTCACACAAAGTTCTGGCCGAAGTGCCGTATTTAAAGCTGGATACGTTAACAATATTGCTAGTAAGGAGCTCTGCCAAAACCATGTTATCGCAACTCAGATTAACAGCATGCCCTTTTTTGCATCGATATTTTTCGATGGATTGTTACCCACCCATACTGTACTGATGTTTCCTAATGAGAACAAAACGGCATACAGTACGGCTGGTTGAACGTCCGAAAGCATTTAACTTTCAAGAAATATACTCGTGATGAACTATGGTCTGTTTAGATTTACAAAGCACCCTGTTTGGCCCTCGGAAAATGAGTTTCTCGGCAATGACCGCCTACCTATGTTGTAAATAAATTGTGCTCACTTCACATGTCGGGCGTAAATCAAAACCTCCACACTGCAAAAACCAGACTCAATGACAACCTTGCCGTGCTATTTGCTCATACATCCACTCAGTTGGGTAAAAAAATAAATTACGGCATGGATAGTGAAGCGCAGTGAAATATACCCATGGCGATATAGAAAAAAAAAACTGGAAAGTAATTTTAATACACAAGGGTTACTTGACGATGCACTATCAAGGAACGTTTTTTATGCCCAGTTACAAACGGCAACGATCAAAAAATAATCACGCCTATTTAGTAATTCATACGTATGGCAGTCTAAAGGCAATTTCACCAACTTATTTGACGGTCAGTTGGACCAATAGGAAAAGACCTTATCGACAGCTCTCTGAATATCAGTGATTTCTATTGAAATGTTGAATAAAGTCGTGAAAAAACAGTTGCCTTATAAATAAGGGTAGGTTATAGATGTAATATTATGTCTTTGTGCTTTAGAATTAGGATGTTTATCATTTCACAAAAGACGGTCAGTTATTTAGATGGACCAATGAAAATGAGAGAAATAATCGATTTTCTAGCTATTTGACGACTGTTCATGCATGGCAATCTGGTTTTGTCTGTATATCACGTACAGGGTGTAGTACATAATATGTACCTGTAGAAATCTACCGATTTTTGCTATTTTGCAAAAAAAAAAGATATAAAACGGATCCTAACGGGTTCATCATACATGTTACATCAAAAACAATTTTTGCAAATTTATGACCTAGAAAACCACACCAAATGTAAACAGACGGCACATTCTGCATGTCTGGGTCCTAAAACATCGATATTTGTGAAAGTATCCGCATCCACCTATTATTCATCGCCTAGATTATAAGTCAGAATCAAGAATACCTATTTATGAAAATATATCTCCAAACATTGTTATATTTTCTTGTTATTTCTATTATTATAACACGTTTGGAATATCAGTTGCTTTTAGAGTGATCTGCACATCTGCAGTATTGCCGGCAAAAAAGAAAAACGAAATCGGTAAATAGTGTCGTTGAATTCGGTATAAGGAAAATGACGTCCCAAGATCAGTGGTAGTCATGAAAAACGTCTATTATTGAATTGGGCGCGCACACATCCATCATACTTTTTGAGGGGATAGTTCCATATTGCAACTTCTACAATGTGCATACTGGTCGCTCTTTCATTCAAAGTATTTTGCAACCATTCTGGGAACTCCTTTTTAGATTCTTGGTTAGAGGATTGGGAATATTTTTCGGCTTTACCCCTGAACTCATGAACTCACCTCTCAATTTAATTAAATATTCAATTTGAAAACAGACAGGTTTCGGTTTCTTTATCGCTTGTCCGTTGATGAGGTAATGACGGTAATCTACCAGGGCAAGCGGAGTAAGGGATGAGGATGTGCGTTCGTAATCATAGGCAACCCAAATCTAAGCCTCTCATGTGCCCGACTGCCTGAGTGTGTATGCAACGTATGATTGATATGGGGCATACAACTATGAAGACTACATAACTTTTAGCTTTATTTTTGGTTTCAGCTGTTTTTCGACAAGTACAGAAATCTTTAAATTATTTGAAAACTCGCGGAGAATGATGTTATCGGTAAATATCCTTTCGGTAAAAATTCCGACAATCTGAAATCTACAATATGAATTTATATTCTAAACTCTATGCATTTCCGTTTATATTCGTCAATATTCCATTTGAAGCTTTTATTTGTCATAACATCTTAGCAAAATGTAAGATAGTAAAGGCAACACCGCACCCTGCAGCCCAGTTGACAGGAACGACAAGCTGTCAAGATTAGGGATGCTTATTCACGAAAAGTATCGATATGTATCGATTCTTATCGAGGGGTACCGACGGAGCTACTTTGGGGCGTCATGGAAATACTTTTAAATTTTCATCTGCATTTTTTCAAATGTTGTGCAACGATTTTGGGAAAAATTCCACGTATAGTCTCATAAGGCATAGTAGAGTATATTTCGACAGTTGGCGTAGCTTACTCCACTGGGACCAAGGGCTGATGGATACCAAGGGCGGTATTAGGATTTCGTCCAGGGGTGGGTGCGCAAACGATATTTGGGACTGGTCATTTTTTAATCTCAGTGGAACTTCTAGAATCTTATTATTGCTCCTTGAATCCATTGTGTTCTATCTGGTCAAGGCGAGCTTGAAAAAAAAGCATGCAAATTGCTCATAAATCCTCAGAAAGCCAATATTTTATTATATGAGAATAAAATAAGTACGTGGCATTTATGATTAACTAGTGTAATAATTAGGGATCGACCGATATAGGATTTTCACCGATACCGATATATCGGCCGATACCGATATGTCGCAGGCCGATATATCGGCCATATCGGCCTATTATATTACTAATAATATTAAAGATTCAAACATAAAAAGCTTCATTGCTCCGTTAACCGACAAAAATAAAACATTCTGATGGACCCCGAGACATATCCCAGTCCATTTCACACAAAACAACGTCTTTGATTGCGAAAACGAACATGAGACCAAAAAATTCACATTATCGTATGGACGCTAGACAATACAAAGAAGGATCTCTGTGGACCATCTATAGATCATGTCTTGAGACCGTCTCCAGACTGTTTGTTGATTGGAACTTGAAGCTCATTCGGTGTATTTGACGGACTGTTACCCTCTAGGTGGAGAACAACGGTCTGTTGATTTGACAGTCGTAGTGAAATACACCCTAACAGTTTTATGGTTTGACCGACAGACAGCTGTTTTTCAAATTCCCGGCAAGTTCCCAACCGTGGATATACGAGTAGTAAGTTCACCCAAATTCTTCGTTAAGTTATATAAACCTTTCTTGAAGTCGTGCTGATAATATTTTTGAGCTTCTCTGTAAAAGTAATCAAGTTTGGCCAAGAAGCGGGATGCCTTTCTTCCAATTATTAATGTACCTATTGGAGATGCGAATGCTCCAAAATGTCTTCAAACTGATGAGGGTGATCCATAGGAAATACTTGACGATAAACATTGTGCTTGGTAGAGCATAGGCTGTCAAAACTAATCATTTTTTATGACACCTCGATATGATGTTCTGTGTGATATTAGATATTTGATTTGCGTACTGCTGATATGTAAAGACTTAGCCGCTTTCCAGTGCTTTTGTATTGAGAGTTGTATGCATCTGGAGTGTGACTTTTCCAAACTGCTCTAGCAAATCTGCACAGGACGGCAACGATAAAAGCCTGACCTGTCTTTTGATGATTTGCTTTGACGTTGACAGTTTATGATTACACTGCCAGAAAATCTTTAGCTTTGTGTTGTTGACTCGAACTTCAAAGTATTCAATTCTTACGTATCTAGCTTCTAAATGACGACTATAGAGTTTGTCACACAAAGCTCTGACAATAACAATGTGAAGCCTTTATTTTCAGAAGCACTAATCAATAGCATCAGGGATCCCTGATGATCGCTTTAGAATGATCGCACAACACATCAGAGGTCTGCATTTTTACTGAAAAGCTTTTGTGTGAATGAGTCAAATTCATACTTTAGTGCAGACATTCAAAATTATTTTCAAAGTGTCTAGTTTATTTATTTATTTATTTCCAACAGGTGAAACCCAATTACAGGAAATGCTGAAAAAAATAACAATTAAAGAGACATGGTTCTTGGACTTAAGTCTATAGTATCACACATTCTAAATAAGACTGGACGATATATAGCAGTTAATAATCGATGCACAACTGTCACTGTAAATATCACACGATTCATTAACACTGTTCATGACGCAGCTCATGAGATTAACTGGTGATTTTGTCATAACATTTGTACGGCCAGCGTGACAATAGAATGCCGTTTGTTGTCGACTCCCTAGCCTTGGAACGCGGAAACATATTTTTTCAAGTAAATTTTGACAGTCAATTTTATTGTGAATGAGGCCATACAAAAACGACAAAGCAAATATGTTTCGTCTTGTTGACAGTGAATTCAAATTGAAAAACTCTAATAGGGCACTATAGTCACAACCTCTTTCTGGATAAGAACCTGTGCATTTGAGGTGAAAATACTTTAAAGCTTTACGTTGAATGGCCTCAAGGATCACGACTGAATTTTGGTGTATAGGAGACCAGATAAGAGTAGCATACTCCAACTTACTCCTGACAAAAGTAAAAAATAAAGTCATTAATGTATCAACATTGGAGAAACCCTTCCAGTTTCTGATACAGAAACCAAGTAGTCGAGTGGC